TTGATTTTAAACTGATCCACAACCCATCACTGTATATATAATAATTGAACGCTTGGTCAGGATCTCCATTATTGCTGAGAATTGTGTCAATTGTTTTGACTAGTGTGTCTATTTATACTAACTATTTATGCTTGGTTAATGTGTGATGTTAGGCAGTATTTATGACGTAGATATATAACATCTATATATAACATATTTCTCAATTTATCAAATGTCTTCATTATGCATACAGTGGTTTGTTTGAACACAGTTATTTAAAATCACTGTCTTATTTATTGCAACGTTCTTGATGTTTGTCTTGCGGTGTTTCTGCATAAACCTCAACGATATGACATCTACTTCCATGGCAACACGCTGAAGGAGCAGAAAGCGCCATTTCTCAGATATTACAGCGTACGTCACGCGAGTGCTTGCAGCCGAGTAACTACACGGGATGCCTGTATTATTAGCGAGAGTTTGTCCGTAACTGGCGCCGTAGGTAGTTCTGTTTCTATGCGACAATAACAGTATTCGTCGAGAGATGGCAGAAAAGACTGTCTAGGGTTAGCCGATTTCATTAGAGGATCAACCATGGCGACTGCAAATAGTTTTGGACCCATATCGCACGGGTTCATCTCCAACAGTGCCCATATTTGATCAAGAGACGAACAATCGCAACCGGAAAGTCGTTTTGGAATGTTGTCACACGATGTACCAGATATTGTACATGTGTCACCAGCAGTCCAGAGAAGCATTCTTGATGGTAAATATATCAACCTCGCCACTTATCCCCGATGAGGCGTGCGATTCTCGTTCGATATTCGATTCATCGGGAAATGTACGTTTAAATAAAACATTAACTCTCAGCGAATTTCTAATAGCTTTCGGGCGTTATAAATCTATCATCTGCGAGGTTTTTCCCGATATAATGGTATACTATGGACATTATTGACTTGCCCAACAGTGTCCGGGAAAACTATTCTATGATTACCATGTTCGTTTTGCTAAGAAAGCAGCTTCTGATATAACACTTAGGAATATCAAGTTAGACTAGTCGCTCAGAGACAACGTGATGTTTCTGAGCATAACGTCTGGGCGTCAACCAGCTGCATGTTCCGTTAGTGTCAGTACGATGCATTCATTCCATTTTTGCTATCAGAAACAACCAAGCAATCAAAAGGTCGAGATACCCAGTTTTCTGCAAATAATATCAGAGGGAGACCCAGATTGTTTTATAATGGTAAAGAAAGGGGTGTGCCAGGATATCATGTTCCCTTTTTCATGTGTGCTGCATGGGAAGAAAATGGGTTCACAGTGACTACCAACTGCAACAAGTACACATATTAAGTTAACATTGACGCTTTGGAAAGACACTTGAG